AAGGAAGGCACTGACTCTCTGAAAATTTCACAATTGGTTCAGGAGGAAGGGAACACCCAAAACATTTATTGATAGCCAGGATCAGTCAGCTTTTGTCATCTTCTCTGACAGCAACCTCAGCACGGAAACAGATTTGTGCGTTTAATGGAAATTGAAGATGGGAAACACTCTTATCAAGTCAATTGAAAAACTAAAGTAATTTTATTTTCCAGAGTCAAGGCAAAGAATGGCAGTGAATTCTCCATTAACAAAAAGTCTAGACACTTCTGATAAATATGATGCTTGACTCTCAGTGGGAGGTAGACATTTACAGTGAACTGGGATAGATCAACTGCTATACTAAAGAACATACTTTAAAAACATTAAATTCTTGGTGTCACTACTCTCCTTTCAAAAGCTGAATTCGTGAGCAGCAAGTAGTGAAACCTGTTAAGTAGCTAATCGGCTAAAACTTGTTCACCCAGCACTAGCAAAGCACTAATATTGGACAAGAAGCAGGCTGATCAGCTTGTTCGGGACACAAACAAGTCATTTGCTGGAAAGGACAGCTGTATGCAACTTGCCAGGATGCACTTTCCCACAATACGCTGATTATCAAAAATATGGAATGTAAGCCAGAAAAATAATCTCAACATAAATTATATGGAAGCTGTGGAAAAAGCCTGGAGCAACACAGAGGGGATGGAAAAATCTGTTGCTACAGTAACTACACTAACAATGGTAGGAAGAGAGTGGTTTGTTCCCCCCCCTCCCCTCTATTCTTGTACAGCCATGGCATTGTGACTTCCAATAAAGAGAACGTGCATGCAGTAACTGGCAGGTTAATATTAAATCCACTCCACCACTATGGTCAACTGGTTTTCCCTGGTTACCTGTTCATAGCTAATAAAGCAGCACGCAAATTTTGTAGTGTTTCTTTCCTGGCATTAAACCCACCTCCCAAAAGACTTACAAAGTGACTGAAAAAGTAGAGTAAGGGTTTTTTTTTGGGGGGGTGGGAAGAGAGATATGCTTACAAAATTATATTATTCACTAGTCAGGTTCCTCAAAGCATCAGCAAGAGGAAAGAGCCAAAGAGAGACAGGGAAGGGAGGGCTCACGCTTTCAACAACTCACACTGCTTCAGCATAACAAACATCAGCTTTTTCTGGGTATAAAATAGAATCATACAATGGTTTGGTTGGAAGGGACCTTAAAGACCACCTAGTTCCAACCCCCCTGCCATGGGCAGGGACACCTCCCACCAGACCAGGTTGCTCACAGCCCCATCCAACCTGGCCTTGAACACTCCCAGGGATGGGGCAGCCACAGCTTCTCTGGGCAACCTCTGCCACTGCCTCACCACCCTCACCGGGAAGAATTTCTTCCTCATAGCTCATCTAAGTCTACTCTTTTTCAGTGATAAGCCATTGCCCCTTGTCCTATCACTCCATGCCCTTGTAAAAAGTCCCTCCCCAGCTTTCCTGTCGGCCCCTTTAGGTACTGGAAGGCTGCTCTAAGGTCTGCCCAGAGCCTTCTCTTCTCCAGGCTGAACATATAGTTAAATACGGTTAACACTGCCTGCAACTTTATCGACACTGTTGGGAGGACAAGTGTACCCAAATCACTTTATAAAATGGAACACATATGGACCATTCGAGAGATCAGAGGGGCTGCTGGAGGTTTGATCGGGTGGAATGACATCTAAGTCATTCCTTCATGATAAAGCTGCTGTCAACCAGACATTTAGGATCTGGGGGAGCGAGAGGGTAGCCATTTCTCACTGCACAGGGAATAACCAAGCATCTTTTCAGCCCACAAAACAGATGACACTTGAACTGCTATTATTCTACACTACCAGCAGCTGTTGTCATATCTCAAGTTTTTACTAGCCTGGAAAAAATGCACTTATTGCCAGACTTAAACACTCTACACTAAATTGTATATAGTGCTGAACTACCTGCAGCACAGCAGAACCTCAAATTGTCGCACCCAAAGAGCATAAACCAAAGCCATTAATGAGATACAGCGTCCCACAGTGTTAGCACAGAAGACTGAAAAATACACCATCTCTTTCACATCTCCCCAGATACTCTCTGGGGGAAAAAAAAAATAAAAAAATATGCAAATCCAGACTTTCATTACACAGACTGACAAAGACAAGACAGATAGCAGTGAAGAGCAAGGAACACCAACACTCCTCTGGGGATAGGAGCAGGATGGAGGACTTCAGCTCCTCTAACCTCTCATCAAGCAACTGTTGGATTCTAGTCTGAGCTCAATTTATTTTCTTTTACAAATCAATGGTGGCAAACACCTTCAATAAGCAATTCACCCCACCTGCCTTTGGCTGAGATGATCACAAGGAGAGAATACCAGCGACCCTAGGGTGTAGGAATGTGAAACTGTCCCAAATAAAGGTAACCAGCCTGGATCACCTATTTCTCTGTAACCAGAGAAACCAAAGAAAATATTCCTTCTGCTATCCAAAAAAAAAAAAAAAAAAAAAAAAAAAAATGACCGCTGACCAGTTACTTTGTGTCAAAGCCGATGCAGCAATGCCAAAGTCTTCTGGCTGGTTTTTGGGCTGCGGTGCAGTCTCCGCAAGCCTGCTGCAGTGCACAAAAAGCAATTGCCTAGTGGCAAAGCACTTATCACAGAGCTGTAACAAGATTTACATCTTGTTCTGACTTCAGC